AGAATGTTTCTATGAGATTATAGTTATGTTCTCAAAAGAATATTATACCAATATACTTGAAATATTCTTAGAATATATCTACATATATCATTCTCAATATGCAACATTCTTGGTTGATTCTAAGGATATACTTGGAATGTTAATTTTCGCTTCCAAATAATGCTCCTTTCAGCCCTTTTATATTAAAGGCAGTGAAAGAGTTGTTGGAAAACTTCTCTGGAAAACAAAAGTATTTAACCAAAGCTCCGGTTTCGAACTTGTTATGCTCTCGTCGAAGCACGCCAACTGAAAGAAACAGGTTTCAACGTGATTTAAACGCGAGGCAAGATGTAGATATTTAATAGCGCGTGGCTCCCTCTCTTGGAAGTCCTACAAAGCAACAGAAAAAGAATATACCTATGATATTCTTAGTAGGTTCTAAATAGAGCATTATTGTTTAATTGTTAAATTATATTTTTGAGTCGGTACTTTAGATAATTAGGTGAACAATATGAAAATATCCCTATTATGGTTATACCTACCTTCATAAACTTCTCAGCACAACTTGGTAGGAATATTTCTGAATACTTGATAGAGATATTAGCCGAAAGAACATTTTTTAGGGTACATTATAATAATGTTCGTATGACAATATTCAAAGATTGTTATATAAAGTAGGTTCTTAGCACAATCTTTCAGGTAGGTGCATAGAAGCAACATTCCTAGTACATAAATAGAACGTCCCAAAATGAATATTTCAATCGAAACAATCTTAGAATATTCATTAGACATTCCTAAAAGAACATTCCAAAAAGCACTTTGAGGGAATATTCTGAGAATATGAATGTTCTTTCACTGTTATGTGGGTAGTGATAAATAAATAAATAAACAATTCACCAACAATCATAACACAACACACAACCTCACTTTCTTACAGCTGGTTTTAGACCCGACGTACGTCCACCGAAAACAGACACTTTTAATTAAAATCATTTGTATTTTTAATTCATAGGTCTAAGAAAACAATTAGAGCATGAATTATAGAGAAATATGTTCAAAGTTTGACGTATAATAGGTTCAAATACTAAGAAATTCCCAGAACCCAAGATATTCCCGTCTGAAAATCACTCTTTTGAATCCCCCATAAGAAATACATTGCTGTCAAATTTGTTGAAATGTGTTTAGGAACCCATTTTAAATTTCGCGCCCGATTTTTCCTAACCTAACTAATATGGTGAATTCCAGTCTATAGTTTTAGTATAGTGACTTGTCGCCGAAAAATAGCTTGATACTTCGGTTTTTGAGTAAAAGCAAATCCTTTTCACAAGTAAAAGAACATGTCAGAATTAGTAGATGTTCGAACAGACCCATCTCAAAAAGTCATGCCGACCCCCCTCAAACTTGATAAGTGGATTGTTTTAGTTTTTATCATTTTTCTCATAAAAGGTAAAAGATAGAAACGTCATTTTGGTGCCATTCGATAGAGCAGAAAATTCTACATAATGTTTATAACCTTATTTTTGTTTATGTCTTCAAGGTAAGGCCCCACGTGAACAAAAATGTGGTGGGGGTAATCACAAAGACACGCGTTGATCCATATCATTAAAACCGCTTGAAAACAAAAAAAAAATAGAGGATACAAAAAATTGAGAATAAAGTTTTCTCTAATAATTGATATATAATTTTTTTTCATATCTCTCAAAATAAAGCCCCCAGTGGCGTACGAAAAAGTAGTGGAGTAAGAGGAATTATTAAAAATAAATATTTTTGGTTACTTTGGTCCTTTCAAACTAATTTATTTATTTTATTGTATTTATATGCAGGTAAACATCATTTTGAAAATATCAGGAGCGTATTAGAATATAATAAAAGTAAATACCTAAAGTGTATTTTTTCCCAAGATGGAGATACACTTTTACAATGCATGTCAAGCGAATGACATATTGCGACTGATAAAGCGGCATTGTTTATGTTTCAAAGTTGACAGTATCTAAATCTATCTTGGGAAAAAATACAGTATAAGTAAATTTTTTAACAATTTTAACTACTCAAAACGTCTTCACAGAAAAGCTAGTGTAACCTCTTACGTGTTTACACCTTAAATTGCAATATTCTGCACACAAGCACAGCCTAATGCATTTTAAATTTTTCAAGAAGCATTTGCATTTTGGGCCACAAGTTTTGCATTTAAATTTTAATAAAATGTCGGATGATATTTTTTCATTTTTCGTAGTGTTTCATAGTGGCGTCCATTTATTGTTTTCTAGAGTCCATCCCCATTTAGATGAACACGGAAGTTCTACCATAGTTGGCACAAATTACCTAAGCTTTTCTGTGAAGACGATTGAGTTGTTAAAATTGTTAAACAATTTACTTATACTGTATTTTTTCCCAAGATAGATTTAGACACTGTCAACTTTGAAACATAAACAATGCCGCTTATTGGTCGCAACATGTCATTCGCACGAAATGCATTCTACAACTGTATCTCCATCTAAAAAAAAATACACTTTATTCACTTTTATTATCTTCGAATACGCTCCTGATTTTTTCAAAATATTGTTTTCCTACGAGCGTGCGCAAAGTAGTACTTTTCCGCACGCATTTCGGTTCTCAAAGTTACACTTTTCCGCACTCAGTGCGGATACAGGCCTTATCCGCACTGAGTGCCGAAAAGTAAAAATAATTGTCAAGCAACAATAAGGGCACCTGTCGACGTTGACAAATGATGACAAATTTTTCCTCTGTTTCTATATCAGCCAACATCTATACAAACACCAAATTTAATTAACTTTGACACATTGTCAGATTTGTTCTCTATTGATATGCAAGAATCTACAAACTTTCTCATCAAATTTAAACGTTTTAAAAAAAGGGCTCTGACGATGATTTTCTGTTATTTTTTTTTTGTTATGTAATTTTTTGATAACTGCATAGGTTCGCTTCAAGTTAATTAAAAATAGTTGAACAAATAATTTTTTTTTCTAAATTTTTGTTGTTACCTACCTGATATGAAGCTCGTAGGAAAAATTTAGTTCCTAACACGTGCGCAAAGTGTCTTTTCCGCACGCAAACACTTATCCAAACTCCGCTTCGCGTCGTTCGTATAACTGTGTTTGCGTGCGGAAAAGTAACACTTTGCGCACTTGTTAGGAAAATAACTATTACCTGCATATAAGTACAATAAAATAAATAAATTAGTTTTTCTCCAAACGTCAAAAAAACGTCACTTTGTCAGCACCTGTCAAGATGTTAGAAATTTAATTTCTATGCTGGTAGGCAAATCCAACGGGTTAACACCTGTCGAGGTGGTAGAAATTTAATTTCCATGCTGCTAGGCAACCGCAGCGGCAGTAGAAGTACTTTTAGTGCCGCTCGTACTTTTACTGCCGCTTAACCATTCATCTAGCCCCGAGCTTACCCCATTCGTTTGAAGAAAAAATAGCGTGTTGCATACGGAGTAGAAGCACTTTTTTGTGCTTCAGCAGTATTGCAAGCCTCACTACGTTCGGCTCGCAAACCTACTGCTTCAGCACAAAAAAGTAAAGCTTCTACTCCTAATACAACAATATACTATTAAAAGGATATAACCAAAATAGTTATTTTTGTCATACGTTCCCAAAAACAGCTATTTTACCGAGTTATTCAAGTCCGTAAAATGCTTCTTTTTAGGATTTTTTTTTTCTAGCTGGATGCACCCTTATGATTTCTAAAATTAAGGAAATTTTGCAAATTTTAGCGTGCTGAAGAATTCTAAAAATCGTATGACGAAAGATAGTGTTTGTCAGACGTACACTCATCTGCTATTCCGGACGAGGCGTCAGGTACTTGTGACAAAAATAACTATTTTGTCACAAGTACCTAAAGTTTTTCAGGACGAATCATTGCTGTTTCCGGACGAGGCGTTAGCCGAGTCTGGAATAGCAGATGAGTCCTGAAAAACTTCGTTTAAGTACGTGTGACAAACACTATTTTTTGTCATACGCTTTTCAGAACTCTTCAGAACGCTAAAATTTGCAAATTTTCCTTAATTTTTGAAATCATAAGGATGCATCCAGATAGAAAAAAAAATCCTAAGAAGAAGCATTTTACGGACTTGAATGAATCCGTAAAATAGCTCTTTTTGGGAGTGTATGACAATAGTATATTGTGTATTTAGGTGGAAAAGTGACACATTCGGTGTAAGTTGACGGGCGAGGCGTAGCCGAGGCGGGCAAACACCGAAGGCCGAGAATGTGCTTTTCCACCGAAATACACATACTATTTTTTCTGCGATTGGTTAAATATCTGTTAAATGTTTGTCTTTTTGTTCCAATTGTTCAGCAGTACGAAAATCACTTTCCCGGCCTAGGCCGGAAAAGTGTTTCCCGTATTGTTATTCATTGATTCCTTAGCAACTATTGAAACATAATTGAAATACCAGAATATTGAGTTTTGCGACCTGTCAACCGGTCAAAAATGTTGACATTTCTTGTCAATCGCAGAAAAAAATATTTATATTTAATCATTCTTCTTACTCCACTACTTTTTTGTACGCCACTGGTGGCTTTATTTTGAAAGATACGAAACAAAATTATATATCTATCGATAGAGAAAACTTTATTCTTAATTTTTTGTATCAAGCGGTTTTAATGATATTGATCAATACGTGTATATGTGATTACTTCCCACCACATATTTGTTCACGTGGGGCGCCTTACCTTGAAGACATAAAAAAAATAAGGTCATAGTCATTATGCAGAATTTTGTGCTTTATCGAATGGCACCAAAATGACGTTTCTATCTTTTACCGTTTATGAGAAAAATAATAAAAACTAAAACAATCCAATTATCAAGTTTGAGCGGGGAGGAGGGGGGTCGGCATGACTTTTTGAGATGGGTCTGTTCAAAAATCTACTAATTCTGACATGTTCTTTCACTTGTGAAAAGGATTTGCTTTTACTCAAAACCGAAGTATGAAAGCCTCAAGTCACTAGGCTATTCATGTACTCTTTAAACAGAGGATACGCTTAACTGCTGACCAATGTGCAGGTCCCGGTTGATGATTGAAACGACTGACAATACTGACTTCGTTCGTAACATATCAGGTCTAGAGATTTGTGCCACGAATATCATGTATGTAACATAATCTTTTAATGTTTTAGGGGTTTTAGGAACCTTTCTCTCTCTCTGTTCTAAATCATTAACTTCTACCACTTTCATTTGGTAATCTGAATCTGCGTTATCTTCTAGTAAAATTTCTTCTGGATCATTCACTTCTGAATAATTATCTTCCGCGCCATTTTCTTCTTTTTTTCTTCTACTTATTTTTGTTCCACTTCATCAATGAAGAAAAAAAAAATTGTTCTGTTTCTGTGTTTTTCTTTTCCAAAAGTATGCTACCTTTTTCTTGTTCAACAAATTGTTCATCTCTGGATACAAATACTAACAGCTGTATGCAACATCCTCTTTTAACTTAGAGGCGCTTTTTAAAACTGGTACCTACCTTTAAAAATTTGTATGGCTTAGAATACCTACACATTTTTAGAAGTGACCAGTTTTAAAAAGCGCTTTTAAGTTAAAAGAGGATGTTGCCTGCAGCTGTTAGTTTTTTTTGTGTGTGCATCATCCAGTTCAGATTTCATACAGTGTCTTTTCGACGCATCGACTAGGAATTCTATTGAATAGATGTGTTTACTGCATTGGTTTACTGCCTTTGCCTGAAAAATATATGATAAACCGCCTCTACCAGAAGACAACAAGTTTTTTCTAGAATTGAACTCCAAAAGCCTTTTTTAGATTGTCCCAACTTTCTTTTGCTGTTTTGGATGACTGCACATGAACAGCTTACCGGGTCAACCAAAAGTATTATTTTTGTACGGGCTTTAGTCACCTTCCTCGCGGAGGGAGCTGATTCATGGTTACAAAACTAGGCAATAAGTACATTTTGTTTATTTGTTGAAAAGACGGGGCAGGGATAGTCTTGACACCCTACCCACCTCTTCATCTGTCACATTTGACAGTTGACACCTGCCAATTTTTTTCAACGTCTTATGGCATTTCCGATTATGCTGCCGAATTCTATTTTACGAGTCGAGTCGAAATTCGTATCGAATTGTCAAAATAGCGGTTCTGTTTTTCGATTTTTTGATACGTTTTAGTTTTACACGGTACGTCCGGAGCTGTCGTATTCGATATCGAGATAATTCGACTCGACTCGTAAAATAGAATCCGGGGGCAGAATCGCTATTTTGACAATTCGATACGAATTTCGACTCGACTCGTAAAATAGAATCCGGCACCTGAACACCGGACAGGCATATGACGCCCATTTGTCATATTTTGAGAACTGACATCTATCAGAAATTACATATTTGACAGCTGTTGAGTATTCCAAATTGTATTATCAGTATTATCACCCGAACTTATCGTGTATGCAAAATCCGATGCGAAGAAATGGTTTAAAAATCTGCACCTGTCACATTTGACAGTTGACACCTGTCAATAGGGGACTAAAACCTTCTCCTCATTATTGCCTTTCATATTTAACTGGTTCGGGGCACATCGCATCGGTCGGATGGTTTCAAAGTCTATAACGGTTATAGGTAGGTAGGTGGGTAGAAACATTTTTTGTGTTTTATACAGGGTAATTCCAAAATGGCGTATGAGCTCACCACTACGTCCTGGGGGATTCTTCAGGGAACCCCAGAAAAATAGAATAGTATAAAGTTACTCTCAACAAAGTTATTAGAAGAACACACAGAGTGGTAAAATTGGCAACATCTTAAATAGGTACTATTGGATAATAGTTGTATTCCTTTCAGAGCTGGTTTATCAGTCGAGGGATAACTCGCAGAGTTTGCTGACCCTCAGTGGCGTAACTAAGGGCCCGCAGTTGCGGGGGGGGGCCGTGGTCTTGGGGGCCTCGCGGGGCTCCACACCAGGCGAAAGTACTAAACTGGCGACAAGAATAGTACCTACTTAACTGAAAGAAAATACTTTAACCTATGAATATTGAATATCATAATATATATCAACCATTGAAAAAGTCTGTCTGGTCTCAACGTTAGAGAACTCAGAGAGAAATGTTCGGGCATACTCACAGATGCAAAATTAACTGTCCGTTTTACGTGATACCACTATTGCTACCTCCGAAAAAGGAGGTAGGTACGAGGTCGGTTGAATTAAACAAAAATGGCAGATTTTAGCATTCATTGGAGGTAGGTTCACAGGGTTGCCAATTTTTTATATTTGTTTCCGAGATATAAAGGAAAATGTAAACACAACTAGAAGCTGTGTGAAGATAACAATGACGCCATTTTGTAGAGAAGAAAGAATCTTGAAACTTTTGTATTGAACACTTTTTTCCGAAGTTAATAGATTTCAAAATAATCAATAAATAAGCTTCAAATGTTTTTTACATTCTCCCCTTATATCTCGGAACAAAGATTTGGCAACCCTGTGAACTTACCTTCAATGAATATTAAAATCTGCCACTTTTATCTAATTTAACCGACCTCACCCTTTTATCGTTTCGGAGATAGCAACAGTGGTATCACTTCAAATGAACACCCTGTATGAAAAAAAAAATAAAAAAAAAAAATATACAGGGTGTTCATTTTAAAACTTACCAACCCTATTATCTCGGAGGAAAAAAGCTTTCGAAAAAAATTCTGAAACACACACTGAAAAAAATACCCGATTCAAGACAAAAGAATGATGCTTTTGGATTTTTTTCTCTTCTATCAAAGAAAATTTCTTCCGTTCAAATTTTCTGCTCTCAACTGTAAATCATGGATGCTTTTCCAATAAATTTCTAATTCTTTTGGATTCAAGCGCCTTTGAGAGAGCATCATTGACTTTGTTTCCAGTCCCTGCATTGTTGAGCTTTTCTGGAGAGCATTAGTCTTTCATTCAAAGTCTATGGGACTTTGGAGTACCTACTCTACATACGCAATTCCCACCTTTCAACAGCTCCAGGACCACCCGAATACTCACTCGCCAGTACCGATTGACCGATCGCATACGCATAACGCGCGTGCATCGTGCATCGGCATCAGATTTCGTTTATTAGTTTGGGGTTTGTGCATTTATTCTATAATCTAGAATGAGTAAAGTGATTCCGGTGAATTTAGAATTTTTCTGAAAACGTGGCGGTTGAGCCATTTACTAAAAACATTAAGAGATAAGTACCTAATTAATACATTGTAGATTTTTCAGTTGAAAGCTGTTTTGGATTCTATTTATCGTTTTGAAATATATCAAATGAGACTGCAGACAGTGCAGACATAATCTAAGGTGCAGAGGAATATATTTTAAAATATTTGTTCAATAATGTTACCAGTAAAACATGTCGCTGTATTGGCCATTTTGGCATTTTTATGGTGATGAAATCGGCTTGCTTTCTTTCTTAACATAAATCTCTTTTATTCGTATGACAAAACCCTTGGTTTTGTGACAAAACTCTTGCTTTTGTGACAAAACCGCGGTTTTTGTGACAAAACCGTCATTTTTGTGACAAAACCCTTGCTTTTGTCTCAACGTCACGAGGGCTTGAACGTAAAAATTTATTAATTTAGCCGCAAAGCATGTAGCATTTGATAATCGGTGTTTTCTTCTAATTCAAAGTCTATTGTTTTTAAAAAGCCAAACCAAACTGAGATACTTTTTATTGTTTTTCTAGATCAAACTAACCATATGGATGAATTAACCGAAAATATTGAAGACAGAATTAATTAAGTAATTGGAAAGATTAATTGAATTTTTGAAGAACAAGGAAAATAAAGTAAGAAAAAAAATTTAACAAAGGTATATTTTTTATTTATATGTTATGTAGGTGTAAGTTGATTATGTTATATTCAACCTCATCAATGTTTATTATTTTCTGTAATAAATAAATTTGTACATATCGATATTTGTTTCTTTGTGGTTCCTGCAAGTCTTCGCCCAAAAAAAGCGAAAACAGATTATTATATGGCTATTTCAATTAGAGTTTCCTATTATTATTATTATTACTAATATTATGATTATGGTGAATACTTGTTCCGAAACGCAGAGTTCTCAAGCGAAAGAATAATTATTATTTGTTTTTAAAAGATCCGAGATAGTCTTTAGACAAAATGTTTATACAGTCGTATAGTGGCGAATTCCCCAAAGATCTTTCGAAAAAAAAAATAGATACCGGGTGCCCACGAGATCACTTTCCGGCTGCCATTTTTTTATTTGTTTATCGATATCAACGAAACTTGGTAGGATTGATATTCTAACCAAATGCCATTTTTATGCATTTATGACAAGTTTTCCTGACTTCCGGTTTCACCGGAAATGACGGCAACTTTTGATTTTTATATGGCACACCCTGTATATTTTTTGTTTTTCGGATTCTACAGATCGTTTTACATCCTAATGCACCACTTTTGAATCGATTTTTGTCCAAATTTTATTTTTAAATTAAATTTTAATTTTTTAACTAGAGAGCCATGATCATCCTAAAATGACTCAAAATACTTTACTTAATTTCAGAAAAATACAAACTCAATTTTATCTATGTGAACTTTTTTGATAGAGGGCTGTAAACTTCATTATTTTAGTATTTTTGCCTTAGCTTAAAAACTAGAATAGAAACATATCACTTTCATAACATTACTAAATGCAGTATTTTTAAGCGAATCCAACGATATACACTATTAGAGCAGGCGCTACAAGTAGTTGAGTATGCAAAATATGAGGACGGGCAAAACTGCTCAAATTCGTGTTCCTGTGATCTTGAAGAGTGGGAAAGTACATCTTGCCGGCAGCTGGAGTGGTCCCTAACTCTCCTGCCATTTCCCAATGCAAAGTTAGATGGAAAATATCACAATTTCAAGTCATTTCACAATAATTCCTAAGGCTTGCTTTTCAAGCTCTCAAAATAATTCTACCATTTGTTGGATATCTTTGCGATTTTGCTCCAAAATATCCACAAGTAAAAGAAGACTGCGAGATGTACATCTGTGGAGGATTCGACGATGTAACAAGATGTTACTAAAAGGGTCTTCATTCTGTGAGGTACCTGAATTAAAATCAAACCACTTAGAAGCTGATTCAAGCATGTTTTTTCACATATTTCATGCTGTAAGAATTGAAGCTGCACATGTTATTATCCTACGTGCTGATACAGATGTATTCGTACTGACGATATATTACTCCAAAGAACTAGCAAATATTGGTTGTCTAGGTCTATGGTTCGACGGTTCCCATAAAAAGAAACATCTTCTAGGATGCCACTTAGCTGCTGAAACTCTTGGTGAAAGAATATGTCACATTTTACCAGCATTACATTCCGTAAGTGGTTGCGATACTACCAGCAGACTAGGCAGTAAAAAACAATTTTTTAAAGTTGCATCCGACGACTTTGTACAAAAAGCCCTTGAATATTTGGAAAACCTTGATCTAAATACAAAACAGCTAAAACAGTTAGAAATGCTCTGCACATATGTTTTTTCAAAAAAAAAACTAACTGCTGATGAACTGCGATATAAGCTGATTTCCCAAAACATAGGTTTCGGCTTCAATTTGATGAGAATAGTATGTACTTCAGATGCTTTGCAATTGTATTTGCTAAGGACTACAGTACAAAATATGTTTGGAAAAAGGCACATCAAACTCAATTAAGACCTATCGATTATTCTTCATTTGGCTATGGAGAGAGCAATGGTAACTTACGTCTACGACAAATGGCAATGTTAATGTTGCCTTTGCCAGAATCATTTATTGTCTTGTAAATGTATGTCCAATTGTCGATTGCCGAACAATGTCGTGCAGTTGTAAAAAGACAAAATCACCGAGTATTTCATTGTGTAAATGCTTAAATAATGATTGCCTAAATAAAAATTAATAATTATTTATCGCGCTTTCATCTATTTCTATTTGTATCTGCTGTTTCTTTTTGTAATTTTTTTAAAATAAATCTTCTTTAATATCATTTTGTGGTTTTTTTGTTGGTAATTTTGAACCCACGACTCCGGCCTAGTGGTCTAGTACAGTTTGATTTGTCACAAACTTTCAAATAATAATAATAATAATAATATTAAATGCACCGCTGTAGCTATGTCATATGTCACCATACCTCTTGAGCAATGGACGGAAACCCAGCGTCCTGAGTTCAAATCACACTAGCAACGCAAATTTTAACAAACTTTTCTATTCAAAACCCTGTCGTTCTTTTTCACCACAAAAGCAAACTGAATTGGAACTATAATAGTCGTTAAAATCACACACATAGCATACACTCCATGGAATTCCTTTATAAGTGAGAGGAGAGGGGATAGAAAAAAAAATGGACCAAAAAATAAGCTGGCAAGATCCGGATTATTAATCTTTGAGCTTTTCTTAGCTACAATCCATTGATAAAATGCGGTCCTCATATTATGCATACTCAAGTCCGTCTAACTCCCGGTCTATTTGACATTTTTCTTAATTTTCGTTCATTTTTGTAGGTTTTTTTTTTTCTACTTAAAATTTAATTTGAAAACGAAATTTGGATATAACTCGATTTAAAAGTGGTACCTAGATTAGGACGTAAAACGATCTGTAGAATAAAAAAAACAAAAAATATACAGGGTGTGCCATTTGAAAATCAGAAGTTTCGGTAATTTCCGGTGAAACCGGAAGTCAGGAGAACTTGTCATAAATGCATAAAAATGGCGTTTGGTTAGAATATCAATCCTACCAAGTTTCGTTGATATCGATTAATAAATAAGAAAATGGCAGCCGGAAACTGATCTCGTGGGCACCCGGTATATACCTACCTAACTAGGTAGTATTAAGAAATTCGAATGGAAAAATGTTAACTCTTAAATTGATTTTAATTGAAATTATTTGGTATAGTTAAATTTTGTTCCTTTCGCAATTTTTTAAGCTAAGCTCTTTTCTGAAAAGATCTTAGGGGATTCTGCACCAGACTAGCCTTGCGTTCGGTATTTTGCTCAAAGAGCAGAGCGTGCCGAGCGGAGCCATAATCACGTGACCAGTGAGCGAACAGAGCAGTTGAACGCTGTATAAAAGTGCCAGAAATTTTAATAAACGAACGCGAATGAGGCTGCACCGAGTACACTTTTTAAATAAACGAACGGTAAAGTCAAGCTCGGAGAACTCGGACCAAAATAACGAACGCACGGCTAGTATATAGGTACATTTTGTCTCAAAACCATTCCGGATCTTTTAAGGAACGAATAATTCTTTCACTTAAGAACTCCAGGTTTCATTCAGTTTCATAACTTATGTATTTACACCTATCATCTACCTGTAAAGGTAAAGGCTGCAGGTGGGGTGCAAAAATATACGGTGACCAAAAAGGTAGTAAATTGCGATAAACCACCCCATTTATCGCCACGGTGCCAGGGGTTGCGGCAGGGTAGGTCGTGGCACCGTAGGTTTTTTTAAGGATACGCATTAAAAGGAACTTTTTGGCGTATATGTTATAAAAAAACGGTCTATTTTTTAATTAAAAAAACATGCTTTCGGCAAAATCTCAAGAGGCACCGTTATCATTTCGGGTACGTCTTTTGACCACGAATCGTTTACGTGACATTCGAAATGTGGTTCGCTTCAAGGTCGAAAAAATGAGTGGGTTCTTAGACTATGTAATTAATAAGTAGTTTCTAAAACCCGCATATTTTGAAACATTAGAATATAATGTCGGTGAATCGTTTCCAGAACATCGGGCATGTATCCGAGTGCCTACAAGAGGTACTACCCTACATCCTATAGCACATCTCATTTTATACTTCTTCTTCTTCAAGTGCCTCTTGTCCTCTACGAACGTTGGCAATCATCAGCCTTGTCGAGTGCTTTTCTGAATAGACTTTTCATGGTTTCGCCATATCAGTGAAGCAAATTTATCAGTCGAGGTCCTGGGCTTTCGATTTTCCCGTCGATTATGAGCTTGAGAAGCAGGTATTTGTCATTCCTGAGTATGTATCCGAAGTACTTACTTTCGCTTTCTAAGCGTATAAGCGTAAACATAACTTCAAGATCTTCTGGCATTCTCGTTGCACATCTTCATTGCGTATTCTGTCCGTCCAAGATATTTTCAACATCCGTCCATATCTACACACATTTCAAAAGTCTATACCTAGCTTTTTACACATGGCGTCTGACACAGTTCACGCCTGAATCCTTAGAGAATACTTGAGACGTAGTAACATAGTACTCGAGTGCGAATGGAGAGTGAGAGACCTCGACTTACACACAACATGGACTTCATTTTTACAACTGATGCTCTGGCTTGTTCAATCCTGGCACGAACCTCCTGTATGTTATCCCAGTCTTCATTAACTTGACATCGTAGGTATCTGTATGATTGAACTCGATCGATCTCTTGGTTATGTACCTGAAGAATACCTCCTCCAAGCAGGTTTTTACTAATCACCATCCATTTAGTTTTTTTGGCGTTCAATTTTAATCCAACTTCTCCATTTGCAGTAGCCAAATGATCAAGTAATATTTGAAGACCTTCCAGAGAATCAGCGGTTAAAACCGTATCGTCCGCGTGCCGAAGACTGTTAATGTTCACGCCGTTGATAGAAATATCCTCAATGCAGTCTTCTAATGCCTTTTCAACTATTTTGTTTGAATAAATATTAAAAAGTAATGGTGGAAGGATGCAACCCTGCCGGACACCTCTTTTTATCCGTACTTCGTCAGACATTCGTTGATCTACCTTGACTTGTACAGTCTAATTTCAGTAGAGATTTGCGATTATCTTGGGGTCTCTATCATCTAGCATCTAGGCCTACAAAAAACTTGAGAAAGTGGCTCATCAAGCTAATAAAGCGATAATCGCTACCTACATCTTTTTGCAGAGCTTTTTTTTGGTCAGAAATGTCAGTTTAAGGGCAAGGCCTTATAAAGCAGTCAGGTCCAGAGGGAATGATGCCCGATCAGTAAACCATATTGAAAAGCTTCATTATCGCGTGTCGTGTAAATTCCTCATTTTTTATGATTTTAATAACTTCTGAGTTCTGAGTAGACACCGTCTGAACCTGCAGCTTTCCTGTTTTTGGATAACCTTCTTCCTTATAGTTATTTCTATAGTCCTCGTGAATACTCTTCATTTTTACCATGAAGGCCACACCGTTATAGTGATTTTGGTGGTCGTGTGGCATTCACTAGAATTTGGCTCTTCATTTCTTTGATGACTGTGAATTTTCCCTTCTTGGAACTTGGAACATATACTATGTACATTCCAGGTTTCATGGCCGTCCCGCGGTGATTCTTAGAGCACCCTCTGGTCATTTAAGACCTGTTGGGGACTGAGGATCTGGGCTTTAAGTTTTTCAGTCATATACAAATGACATATTCAAATCAGCTTCCTGGATTCTCATTTCCACTGCACATTATCACTCATTTCTATATCTCAGTTGTTGGTAAATACCTCGACTCCTGGACATATTCGATGTGTCCCTTTCAGGTGAGTTTAGTATTTTCTTTGTCACTGTTTTAAGACCGTTTAATCGATTTCAACTATCCTTCGTACTCTGCAGCTTAGCTTACGCAACTTCACTTTTTTTTCTTGGAGCAGTAGGTAGTTTAGTAGAGTGAAAGTTTGTTGAAAATCGTTGAATGCTGTTTGTGTCTTCCTTTTAATGTTGTGGTCTTTTCAGCTTTTCCAGGATGGAAATAGATAGGCCATTCTTTGAAGAAATTTTCAGCTGTAGATGTTGAAGGAGCTATTTATCTTGACGTTGAAGGGAGCGCCTCTACCCTAAAAGTAGATTTTTTTGTCTTGATGTTGAAGGAATCGTCTTTACAGTTAAGTAGGAGTAGTAATTTTTTTGTTATTAGATAAAACATTTTAAAGTGGCGTGCGAAAAGTTTTCTGGGAACCACCTGTAACGTTTGGCGTGCCACTAGTTGAGAAATCCAAAATATCCGTGAACTAACCAGTGGGACGGCCAGGTATTTTTAAAACCTTTTCATTTTAATAGTATGCAACCGTAGAAACACCAATTTAAATTGATCTATTTTAAAAGCTGTTAGGTCCCCTCTCTCTTCTCATCATTTTTTCACAACAATTTAGCAATTGAGGCATTTTATTTGTGTTCAAATTTTCAACTTCCGTCACCGCATTAAGAGCGCATCTCAGTCAGACGAAGCCTTTTTAGAGAAAAATAATGGCCGGCCATCAAACTCAAGGCATCCAGCAGCTTTTGCAAGCTGAGAAAAGAGCTGCGGAAAAAGTGGCTGAAGCTAGAAAACGTAAGTAGTATTTTTTGGAATTTTTTTTTTCCAGGAGCGTTTAATTTTAGAAATACCTATGTGGCCGGTTTTCAAAACAATATTACATTATAAGTAATGAGGTCCGGACCGTGATCCAATTTGTTTTGCGACACACGCGAAAGGGAATTATAAATAAAATATGTCGCTTGAATGTTGGCAATTTATTTTGGTTTTTGAAGAATTTCGCGGGATTTGAAAATATTCATCCATTCCCGACGAACTTGACTTTGAGTTAGTTTGCTATAGCGGGACTTAAAAAAATATAGGTATTTTTGGTGATTTTTAGGAATACAAATATTACCAAGATGTTCGTCTGGTATTTTGAATTTTTTTACAAAGATTTCGGGTAATAGTACATCTTTCAGTCAATAAAACAGTAACTAGTTAGAAATGGTATCAAAATTAACTTGAGTGAAAAATAAGATGAATCACATATTTAGCCGGGACTCTGCTATACAGTTTCTTAGCAGAAACACCCTTTTCTATTCAAAGCGGTCCATGACACGGGATGGGTTTCTTACTCTCAACTCAAGAAACCAAAATACCTATATATGTCGAACCAGCGCCTGCACTTAAATTGTCCTTAAACCGACTTCCATCATTTAACATCACTTTCATTTAAACACTAAATTGGTTCGTCCTACTTGCACATTGAGCATCAAATGTAGCATCCGCGGAAAAAGTTAACATAAATCTCAATTTATAGCACTCAAAACAACTCGGTAATTATTAACACTTATAATTTCAATTTTAGCGCAAATTTTAATTGTTTTTCCTTTTTTGTTTAGTTTTCCGTTTATTACAATATCAACTTGTTTTCCATTCTTGTTTTCCGTGCTTAATAAAGTTCTTGTGAATGATGCGTTTCTGTAAATTAACCCATAGGTGTAAGTTGTCTTTCTGTTCCATTATTAAATTAAATTTCCTATTTAGTCTTTGGATTATTTATACTTCTCACGAATATATACCTACTTTTAGGCCCTTTATGTAAATACTTCTTTGTTATGTTGAGTCTTTGTTAATCGTCCATTAGTTTTACATCCTCCCTGGATAAATGTAGATATATATTGTATTTGTGATTTTGTTCTTTTAATGTTCTAGACGGAGAGCCAGCGACGAAAGAATTCTCTGAATTAACCAAAGCCAGTCTTTGGACAGTTGATTACAATAGTTATGTATATAAATATAGCGCGGTCAGTCAAGCTAAACTTAGAACAATGACCTAGTGTGTGTTATTAAAGTTGTCGGGGTGTGGGGTGTCTTGTTGAAGTTGTCGAGATAACTTAGGTAATGCAACGGATTTACTAAGGCTGAAAATCGTTTTACATATTATATATTACACATAAATATAACAGTTATGTTAGTCAGTCAGTGAATATCAGAACCATGCTGGTCAGTCAGCCCCATTGAGGTAGGTCAGCCCCAATATAATATATACCGGGTGATTGTCTATACCGGGTGTCCCACTAAGGTCGGCCAGGTACGATGTTATGGAGACCATAGACCTCACGTAACTTGAAAACGAATGCAGATATTGAATTGCGGTTTGCGCCAAAATGTAGATTTTTTTTGCTCTTTAAGCACAGCAATACAGAAATAATATTATGCCATTTGCTTTCCTAGCCACACTGATTAGATCTGATAGCAATCGAAACGTGTCTGTGGATGGAAAAGCGAAGAAAATTAATCCAAAACTCTCACATCAGTGGATAATAGGAGAAAACTTGTTTCCAGTATTTTGGGTTTTCCCAACTAACTGATTTTTGGTCGGCCTATGAGACGGTCAGTACTTTTACAGCAAAAGTGCTGTTTAGTGCTGAATCCGTCTTAGATGGCGTCACGATCGAAATTCGCTCTTCGTATTATTTCTACTTTGCCTGCAGGCACTAAACTTGGATTAGTTTTCTTTGCTTTCCTAGCCACGCTGATGAGATCTGATAGATCGAAACGCGTCTGTGGATGGAAAAGCGAAAAAAATTAATCCAAAATTTTCGTACACTTATGTGTATATATATATAACACTTTTCAGCTTTAGTAAATCCGTTGCATTACTCAAGTTATCTCGACAACTTCAACAAGATACCCTAGGTCCTTGTTCTAAGTTCCGCTTGACTGACCGCGGTATATTTATGTACAGTCGTGAGCACAAAAAGTGGGACACCCGTTTTAATCTATTGTAAAACGGGCTAATCACGTATACCTACGGCAATGACAGGGATTGTCATATTTGACAAAAAATGGACTGTAGAGAAAAGACTGATTTACGCAAAATAGCGAAAAATTACAAGACCCGTCAGTCGGGTGTCCCACTTTTTGTGCTCATGGCTGTACGTAACTACTGTAATCAACTGTCCAAAAACTAGCTTTAGCACAGAATTTAGTAAATTCAGAGAATTTTTTCGACGCTGGTTGTTGCACTGCTCAGTTCTTTTTGTTGCATGTTGTTGTTGTTATTCTGTTCCTGTTCCATTCCATTTTTTTTTTTAATTCTCCAAGTATATGCAACTTTTGACTATTTGTTCTTTTACCATGTATTTTATCTGAATATGTATTTCGTTCGTTTCCTATTGTCACTCACTTTACAAACAGTAACAATTATTTTTTCATTGAACAAATTGACTTTATACAGTGTGTCCCGCTTAAGCACTGACCACCCTTATGAAATTTTTATTTTATTAACCGATTCAATTAATTTTTTTTCTCTTATATCTACTTGAATTTGGAACTTATTAGGCTCATAATTTAATTTCAGCAGCTGTACTGGTATACTGGTGTCCACATTTATAGACTCAGATTTCAATAAGTACTATTAAGGCCGAAACTCACTAGCAACACGCCACGCCACCCTACGCCATGTGACACAGGTTCACGTGGGACAGTTTGTGTGCAAATGGACGGATGGCGTGGCATGCCATGGCGTGGTATCGCGTATGGCAAGTGTGTACGCAGCACATATAAATAAATGGAAGAATATACGCATACATTTTCGTCACATGGCGTGGCGTGGCGAAGCATGACGTGGCGTATTGCTAGTGGGTTTCGGCCTTTAGGGAATTTTTTAGAAAAAAGCTGAACGCGAATTCTTGTTTAGAATGGTCTAAAACCCAAGTGTACTAATTTTTGTTTCAATACGATACAGGTGATGACAACAAATTTTCAAAATTTAATGTATCAAACCGCAAAAATGTCATATTTTGAGGCCTCGAGACCAACAAAACTTGATACAACATAGTTTTAGAACATCCTCAACCAAAATTTGTAATAAGCTTGTCTCAAAATATGCTACTTTTGCGGTTTGATTCATTAAAGTTTGAAAATTTGTTGTGTACACCCTGTATCGTATTGAAACAAGAATTTGTACATTTGGATCAGATTTGTTCTAAAAAAATCCCTAATAGTACTTATTGAAATTTAAGCCTATAAATGTGGACACCCTGTAGGTACACCAGTACAGCCGCAGGAATAAAATTATAAGCCTAATAATTGCCAAATTCGAGTAGATATAAGACAAAAAAATAAATTGAATCGGTTAAAAAATAGAAATTTTAGAAGGGTGGTCAGTCCTTAAGTGGGACACACTGTATAAATTCACTTATGACTTATCGCAACGTAGAAAATAAATCTTGTATTTGAACGACTGCCTGCAACAACGAGTAACCGCACGCTATGCTATAAATAGCCGACTTTGTACTCGAGATTTTCCTAGAAAAACCCGGTGCCCTACTCGAATACAATAGAATGCCCCGAATAGTTGCGCTCTAGATGTAAACAATCCGATTCCCAGAATCCGGACGGTTTCTCGATGCATTTTGCTAATATAGGGAAATTAATAAAACAGTGTATGTGGGGGATCAAAATTTCTGACGTTGGCATGTCGCAATATTGCCGCATCAACTTCATTTCACTTTGACATACCATAAAGTTTGTCATTTTCCCAGGTTACATTTTTATTAATAAATTGATAAGAATAATTATAATACCAAAAAACGAAATTCCAAATAAATTATATCCCAACTATCAATCCCCGACTCGTTAGAAACTGACAACAAACCTCAAAATGTTAAAATCAATAACCAAAGATTTGCTGAAGGCAACTATTGGCAACATTACCCACGAGTGCCAGCCTAAATCCGATTTTATCGGCCGATTCGATTAATATGATCCGACACCATTATGTCTCTTTTTAACTAGGGTTAAAAGAGAAGAGAAAATGCGCTCGGAGCTTAAAACGAATTTTAATTTCTTACAAACTGCAATTGGCAATGATTTTGATGTCATTGATGACCTGCAACCATTATTTTAATAATTTCACTATAGTATAGGAGCTGGCAGGTTTTTCGGTGAACGATATTTAATATTTATCAAATTTTTTATTAATAAATCATGAAGCAGCGTTTTCCTAGCAACCCACATTTTACGCGGCGTAGAACGTAATTGACCTTTTGTTTGGACGCCATATTGCGGTGCGCGAACATAGTTGCCAAAAGTAGAAAAAAAAAATTACTAGCGTACTTTCAACATTAAAAACAAAAGTTACTGAATAAATTACATTCAAAACTTAAATTTGCCGCCTATTACGAATGTTTTTGAAAAAAAAGGCCATCAATTTTAGCCTGTATTGAGCAAAATAGAAATAATAAAATATCCATTTATTTACTTTCATTAATCAGAGAGAGAAAGTAAACAAACAAAAAGGATAGCGAGGATCAATCATTTAGTTACTTTTGTTTTTAATGTTGACAGCCCGCTAGTAATTTTTGTTTTTTTCTTTTGGCAACTATGTTCGCGCACCCCAATATGGCGTCCAAACAAAAGGTCAATTCGGTCGGCGTAAAACGCTGAGGACATGTCTAATGAAAATCAAATGAAGGTGTTTTCCTACACTGCGTAAAAACGACTTGCGCTAGCGTAATACGGTCGACGCAACTGGACGACTGCTCTGAGAGCAGTCTATTCAGTTGTACGCTGCGTGTTGGCAA